ATATATATACATATATATATACTGAATATATAGTTTATTAATGTTTAACATAAATGTTATATTAAATAGATATTTAAATATAATTTAATATGTGCATTGCCAGCACTGCTTAAATGTTGTAATCCACATATAGCCTAGATCCTTACTTGCTGCATTGTCAGTGAGCCTGTCCCTGCGCACGTAAGGAAATCTGCAGCATCAGCCTCTACTCCACTTTTAATAAAGTGCAGCATCAGTGTGACCTTGCAGCACTTCCAGTAACACTGAATCAGATTTGTAGACACAAGAGCCGATTCCTGCAAAGTACTGCAAGGTCAGCATATTACATATTTATAATTCTGAGCCAAACGCTCAGCGATGTTCATTTTATTTGCAGTAACTTGCTTATAACTAGTTAAAAAAAAACAACAAACTTAATTTTATTTCTGAAGCTGGCACATGAACATTTTTAACAAATGTATTAATCAGTGTTCACTCGATGTAGCATGTCTCTTGTGTATATTATTGATGGAGGAGACCATTTCTGATGTTGTATTGTACTTTTTATAATAAGTAACTTTGTCTTCTGTCTTATGCAGGATCACCTCTCTCCAGTGCTCCCCCCCTCCCACGTACTCTGTCCCGGTGCTTGGTGCACTGCGGGTTTATTCTGGACGCCTTTTTTTTTTTTGCTGCAAGTTGCAGATTGGTTATCTGGCGCAAAAGGGGTTAAGAGCCCTCTAGTGGAGCCTCATTATATTGATGTCCCTCCTGCATGCTCCAGAATCGGAAGGATAACTGTAACAGATACTCCATTATTAAAAAATCAATAGCTATTCTCTGATGAGTCAAGTTAAAAGGGGAGGAAACTGCATTACGGTAGAATGTGAGGCAGATTGTTAGTGTATGCAGCATGGGGCCCCATCTCAGACATGCTTAACGTCATTTAACTCGTTGGCTTTACACAGGGAAGGTTGCATCTAATGGCATTTCTTATCGTAATGATCCATGGGTTTCATATTGCACGCTTCAAAATCATTTCACAGGTCTATACAGGCCGCTTTGCTAGGGCTATGCAATCTTCTACACTCCTGACCCATGAAATTGTGATTTTTTGTGGGTGTGTTGCATTTACGCATGCACACACATGTGCACACCTACACATCCCCACGTACGCACAGACATACAAAGACACACACGCAACGTCCACATGACTCATGTGTTTGACGGCAGTATGCACTTGTGATTGCTGAATCTTAAAAACAGAGGTGACCTTTCGTTACAGCATGGAGACTAAATCATTTGGATCTAACACTCGTGATACAGTGTGAGGCAAGCATGATTGATGTCTATCATCGTTTAGAACACATATTAATGGCCAATATTTACATACAAGTCCATCAGCCTGTGTACAGTAATGGAAATATGTAGTTGTCGCAACCCCCCCCCCCCCCCCCCCTCTCCTATTTTTTTTTTTTTTTTCTC